CTGTTGTAAGTCAACAACATAGAGTGCGTCGAACTTTCGGACCGGCGCAGTAGGGCTTTTAGGTATGGTGGTAGACTTCGTATAAGGAGCCCTTTTCGGTGTGCATAAGACTTTCCGGGGCTTAGGGCCTGGCTTAGGGTTTTAAGGGCTTTCAGGTTTAAACCTTCGAAGTCGAGGGTGTAGGGTATAGTATAGTGTAGTGTCTTATGACACAATATAGTATGGTATGGTATGGTACAGTACAGTACTAGAGTGCAGTAGAGTAGAGGTCTTACGGAATTAAAGAGGAGTAAATGAGCAAACCTTCGAGACCTATGTCGTGGATTTCGGGTCCGCAGGGCTCAGGGTGCGTGGGGCTGTAATTTCATCATCAAGCATAAATCCGAGCTGTGCAACCAGGCAAAGCGCCACAGGGCGCTGAATTCCAGCTGTTGAAGTTAACATGCGGGCTCTCTGGGCTTATAAGCAACCCGAAACCCAAACCCGAACCCTAAGGGGTTTTAACCGTAAACTATAAGCCCTAAACCTAAACCCTGTAAGCTACAGTACCCAAGGGGTTGTGAAGATGCAGAAGCTGCCCTTTGCTTGCATTTTCCGCTCAGCTTTTGGGGTGAGATGCTGATCTACATGCTGTCGAGCCTAGGAGAGCAGGAGCTCTGCGAAACGCTATGCTAAAACCTCAAGCCCTCGCAATTTAGGGTTTACCCTTTTAGGGTTTAGGGTTTGGGGTTAAAGGGTTTAGGGTTAGGGTTTAGGGTTTAGGGTTAGGGTTTAGGGTTTGGGGTTTAAGGGGTTTCGGGCCCCCGAAACCCCAAAGAGAAACTCGAAATTTGACATCCCCAGGCCCTCCGTTGGCCAACTCTGTAGCCTTGAGCCTGAAGCAAAGATGCAGACGCAGGCTTACAGGAAAAGTCTAGGATTGCCTTAAAGCCCTTAACCGTAAATCCTAGAACCCCGAACACCTAAACCCCTGAAATCCAAATCGCACACCCCTAAATCTTAAAAACCCTACCGCTCCTAACCCTAAAGGCCACGACCCTCAAGCCCTTAAGCGGAATTCACAGGACGTGTTGAGGGTTTAGGGTTTAGGGGTTTAGGGTTCATGCTTGGGGACCTTTTTGTTGGGAGCCATGTAGGTCGAAAGATAAACCAGCGATAAGGATTGCTGAAGGGTTATGAGGGTTGTGAAAGAGGTTTAAGGTTTAGGGTTTGGGGTTTGGGGTTTAAGGTTTACTAGGTTTTATACGGTTTAGTATGAGGGTTTTCTGTAAGGGCTTTTATTGGGCTTAATACAGCATAAGAACATATGATTGTTACTTTCACATACTCCCAAACCCTGTTATGATGGTTGAGTCTCTTATGTTTGGCATGTGTGTGACTTAACTTAAGATTATTTTCAAGTGGTTCTCAAGCTCATGCTCCTTGGCTCCAGTCATGATAGGAGTCGTGCTTTGCCGCGCCGGTGTAGCCTGAAAGCAAGATGGAACACAGCATGGGCTGAGGATGAACTTCAGATTGGTTTACATCGTTTGGCAATCGGAATGTTTCACTAAGGAGTTGTTATTAACTTGTTGCCCTGGGCTGGTGTTAACCTGGACTCTGTGTAGGTATAGGTGAGTGTAAGAATACAACTCTTAGTTCACTGTTCTTAGACTTGGTGTAAGATTTCAACTTCCCGTTGAGATTGCTGCTCTTCTTGCCTCATTGTAACATGCAGACTGACATGCGTCGTTGAGGCCTGAAGTCTTCGAACTCCTGCGTGTTGGCTCAGGAGCCCCAAGCCCAAGAACTTCATGCGATGTCTCTGGAGCCTGTTGAAGATCCGGCATTAGAATCCTCAAACTTCGAGCGCGGAAGTGTTTGCAACTAGGCCCTTCGGGCTTGGGGCTTGTGGGGGCTTGTGGCTTCTTCTCGCGCCCTGTGGTGTTTTAAAACATGGCGTACCTCTCGCTGCTCGGACTGCAGATGCTGACTTTAGTCTCCGGTACGGAGCGGTGCGGAGGATCCCTCTACATCTTCTGGGACCGACGCTGTGGCCAAGAGGAAGGCACCCCTCCCATGTGGATCCTTTCCCCAGAGATGCCCGATCCTAGAAAGCTCCGAAACCTCCAGGAAGAGGAAGGATGCCATGCTTGGGCCACTTGGGCGACGGAGCAAGAAGCCATTGCGGGTGTCCACAGCTGGACGAGCTTCGATCCTTGCTGCACCTCTCGGGCTGGCACGGGGTTCCAGGCAAGGGTAGTAAGCTTCGAGAACGACAGCATTCAGGTGTCCGGACTTTGCGATACTGACGGTGGCATGAGGCTTGCGAACCGAGTCTTCCGGATCGAGGGCACTACGGTCACTGGTCGATACTGGTACTCCAGCCAATGTTCCGGAGAGCATTGCTACTACGAAGTGCAGGTCCCAGAAGACTTTGAAAGCCATGCTCGGGAGCCCGAAGACAACTTCGAGGACGGGGGAGAGCCGCGAGGGTATGAAGATGAGGAAGACGACGACGCAGATGATCTGCTTGTCACCGCACATTTAATTTCCGGCTTCGCCCTCCTGGCTGTCGGCATCCTACAAACCCTGCTAGCCTGTGGGCGCCTTCAAAAGCGAAACTAGGCTTTGGGGAGGATCTTAGACTATAAGAAGAAGAAGAAGAAGGAGGGAACCCCAAATAGTGTTGGTAATTATTTAGGCCCCTATATTAGGTAAGCGACACAAGGCTCTTTACATGGATCCTAATGTTTTGGGGTTATAGGACCAGGGTTTCTTAATCAAGTTCGTACATTCGCATGGCTGTGTAGGTCGGCCTTTGGGACATTTTAAGCTTTCCCTTATTGGCCTAAGTGGATCTTAGTTACAAATATTGTCCATTAGGGTTTTGGGTTTAGGGGTTTAGGGTTTAGGGGTTTAGGGTTTAGGGTTTAGGGTTTGGGGGTGTAGGGGTTTAGGGTTTAGGGCTCTAAAGGGCCGACCTAGGAAAGCGCAGATTGCCACTGCAGCCCGGGGACGCAGAAGTGCTTTCGCCTCGGCGACGTGGAAGTGGTAGCGATTGGCACCGATCCGTACCGCAAAGCGCCTGGTGTGTGACGCTTGAAGACCTTTGCCAGTTTCGCCGCCTCGTGATGCATGCAGTTGAGACAGGAAAGATTCGGCCGCATGATCGTGATATGTTTGACACCTCCGACTTGTCCATAGGACCCTCTGTGTACACAGTCAACGATCAGTTCATTAAGCCCGTGACAGCTCGTGCTGGCAAGATGAGCTGGGCTCTTCTGAAAAACCCCGCTGGTGTGAGCTGCGACGTCTTCGTGACACACTGCTGGGCCGAGGGAATTTATGAATTCATCGACAGGGTAGAGCATCTGGGTTCTGGAGTACTTGTTTTTTGACCTGTTCCTTAAAGGAACCATTATAAAATAGAAGTCTATGCTTTTTTCTCCCTGGTTACTTCAAAGTCCAGGCACTCATGGCCTCGAGGTGCACGCGCCGCGTATGTCTGCTTCTTGTCCAACCCGCAAAACTTGGACATCGCCGGCCTGATCGCAAGTCCTCGTGAATCTCCTTTTGCACTAGCCTTGCAGGCCACTCCTATCGCTAAACCCTAAACCCTATACCCTAAACCCTAAACGCTAAACCCTAAGCCCTCAGCCCTAAGCCCTAAGCCCTATGCCCTAGCCTTGCAGGCCGCTCCCATCATGTTGGTTCTGCCGAACCACAGCCTCAGCATTTACACACGGCTCTGGTGCTGTTACGAGGCGCCGGAGTCGGCCCAGGACATGTTAAGAGACTACTGCGTGTAGAACTCAGCGCACCTAAACATGTTTGGGGGCACCCAACGGATTTTCTTCTGGTTCGGTTCAATACGGCCCTCCTGTCTTCAGCCCGCTTGCTGGAGAACTTCGTTCGAGTGGGTGGTAGGTTGGATTGGATGATAACCCCGAAACCACCTGAACCCTAAACCCTAAAACCCTAAACCCTAAAACCCTAAACCCTAAAACCCTGAACCCTAAACCCTAAACCCAACCTGCCTCTAATCCGCAAACCCCTGCGGCGCCCCTGACTCCAAGCCTTCAAGAAACCCCCAAAACCGTTAAACCCCTAAACCCAAGGGCCCTAAGCAAACCCTCAAACCCAGAACCCAAACCTGAAGCCCTGACGAGGCTTTCCTCGCGTATTCCTGGCGAAAGACCATTCGGGTTGCAAAGCGGCACCATGACGGACTTTGGTGGTGCATGCTCCGGCTCGGAGGCTTGCATCACGGCTGCATGAGTTTAGGGTTCAGGGTTTAGTGTGTGTTTGAAATCTTCGGCTTCATTGCATGGTTTAGGTGCCGCAAGTCCAGAGTAAGGTACGTTGCAGCTGCTGGGGCGACGTGTTTGTTGCCGATGAGGGTCGACATGGCCGTCATCGGAGAGCTCAACACGATTCTTTCGGTTGCTGCAGGAAGCTCGCTTGAATTAGTGCCGCTGCGTATTTCAGTTCTACCGCTGGATGTTGCTGGGAAAGGAGGGACGTGTCCACGTGGCAGTGCCGCATCTTGCATGTTCCCTGCACCCAAACCCCTAGAGCTCAAACCCTAAACCCGAAACCCAAACCCCTAAACCCTAGAGCTCAAACCCTAAACCCTAAACCCAAACCCCCTAAACCCTAGAGCTCAAGGCATCTCCTATGTTCTGGCGGCGGCATTTGTGCAGAAACTGGGTTCTGGAGTACCATACTTGCATACCTTTTTTTTTTCGGACCTGTTCCTTAAAGGAACCACTATAAAATAAGAGTCTATACTTTTTTCTGCCTGGTTACTTCAAAGTCCAGGAAAGGGATCTTTGGGGCCCTTGCCCTGGCCTTGAACGCACTCACCGGCATCTGCCTAAGCACTGGCCTGCTGCTGGGTTCTTGTTAGGGGAAGGGTTGAGGGCTTTAGGGTTTTAGGGCTTTAGGGTTTTAGGGTTTTAGGGGTTTAGGGTTTATGGGTTTAGGGTTTGTTAAGGGATTTAAGTTTAAGTTTCCATAGCAAGGAAACCATATTATGTACTATAGATCCCTATTATGGTAGCTTAAATTAGCTCCCCCAACAAGAACCCAGGCTGGGCGGATACATTGCTGCCGTGGGTCTGCAGCGTGAGATGTTCTATTCTGGGCAAGACCTGGGGCGCCTTTTGACCTGGCTCTGTGGGCTTGTCACTAGGTCCCCAAGTCGTAGCCTTCCGCTTTCGGGTGGTTTTGGCTCGATTTTGTTGAGGAGGGCTCTCCTCATAAATATTGAAGAATAAGAAGAAAAGGGGGTGCCCTCATTACTGAGGGGGTAACAGTGACCGAGTATAGCACCTCATATACACCTGCAAAACACTGAAAAACGATTTCTCAAGACCTCATTAAGCTACTCGTATTAATACAAAACCTGTAAACATCCTTTACCCGGCTTGATGATAGCAGTATTATTCTTAGCATTATCATGATGATGATTAGTATTGTTACCATTATTCTTATTATACAGGTTATTATTTATGGCACGGTATATTCCTTATTATGGGGGGTAATGCAGGATTTATATCATCAGCCGTAGGTCATCACCTACTGCCTGGAGTTTGACCGGATCATGGCCTGCGATGCCTCGCTTAGAAGCAAGCTCCTGCGGAAAGACTTCTCCGGCAGACTACTGGATGCGAGGTGGGTGAAGTAGGGGTTTAGGGGTGTTTAAGGGCTTTTCAGGGTTTTAGGGTTCTTAGGGGTTAGGGTTCAGGGGTACAGGGTTTAGGGTTGACTACTGGATGCGAGGTGGGACTTGCTGAAATTAGGGGGTACCTTATCTTAGGGGTCCTTATAATAAGGATCCCTACTGTTTAGGGTACTATATTGGGGTCCCCTATTTTCGGAAACCCGCAGGTGGGTGAAGTAGGGGTTTAGGGTTCAGGGCCTTTTAAGGGTTTAGGGTTTTAGGGGGGTTAGGGTTTAGGGCTCTAGGGTTAGGGTTGTAGGGTTTAGGGCTAGGGTGTGGGTTCAGGATTTAGGGTTTGGTGGCTAAGTAAAGGGCTCCTTTAAGAGTTCTGCTTTAATGACGGATTGCTTGCAGAATAGTTCTGCACACTGTGAGGGTCTACCTGCTTCGAGGAGATAGTTTCAGGCTTGGCCGTTTTGGCAGCTAAGCCCACGCCCTAAAATCCTAAAATTCTAAGCCTAAACCCTAAACCCTAAAGCGCTGAACTCCAGCCCCGCAGCACTGAAGCCCTAAACCGAAAAGCGCAGAACCTTAAGTCAGGTGCTCATCGGACTCCGACAGAGAGCCTGGGTTCTGGAGTACCATACATTGAATGCTTTTTGTGGCGGTTCCTAAACCCTAAACTAAACCCTAAACCCCGAAAACCCTAAACCCCTGAACCCTAAACCCTAAACTTTGCCCTAAAAACCCTAAAGCCCCTGAAACCCTAAACCTTTAAATTAAAACCCTAAACCCCCCAAAAACCCCTAAACCCCTGAACCCCTAAACCCTGAACCCTAAACTGAACCCTTAAACCCTTAAAACCCCTAAACCCCTACCCCAAAGCCCAGGAGAGTACCCTCACCCTAAACCCTTAAAACCCTGAACCCCAAACCCTGAACCCTTAAACCCCTACTCCAAAGCCCAGGAGAGTATCCTCGAGGAGCTGTCGCAAAGCGGAAAGGCGAAGGAGGTCGAAGAGGCTGCAGCTGGCAGGTGAACTTAGCTCTGGGTCGCTTTTTAAGGGCTTGGCAAGTTGAATTAAGCTGCTGTAAGGTTTAGGGGGTTCTTTTTTAGGGTTTAAAGCTTAGGGGTATTATAGGGTTTAGGGTTTAGGGAGGAAACCTTATTATTTATCATATATCCCAATTATGGTAACATAAACTAAGCCTTAACAGCAACCCGGCTAGGGGCCTGAATCATGACAATAGGGTTCCTGTTAACGCGGTACTACACGGGGCACAAAACCGGCTCTATAATATAATGTAATATAGGGGCCTTAACGATAGGGACATGGGGTGGGGGGTGAATCATTACAAGGGTGGGCTTCTTGTAGAGGCCTCCTTGCAGCTTCAAGGAGATACCACAAGGGTTATTCTAAAGGGGCACTAGAGCTGCCTGAATCATGATGAGAGGGTTCCTTCAAAAAGGCTTCTGCAAGGGGTATTACAAGGGTTCTATATTACAAGGGCCTTAGCGATAGGGGTTCTTGTAAAGATTTATTTCCTTAAAAGAGACAATACAAGGGCTGCTGTACAGCACTAGAGGGGCCACAATAAGTATACCAATAAGAAAAGGTTTGGCTCTGGATTGTAGTATAGGTATTTTGTCGGGGAGTGCTAACTAATTATTCCGCCCCATGTATTACAGATCGTTTATCAGGCTTCGTAAGGATTTAGGGATTTTACTTCAGATTTAGGGCGTGGGCCAAATATGAGGCTTCCTACAGGTCCTAACGGGTATGAAGTTACGATGTATACATATATGCACTTGTATGTATATGTATGTGTGTGTATATATATATATAGACAGATAGACAGATGGATAGATGGGTAGAAAGGTAGATAGATAGGTAGGTAGATAGGTAGATAGATAAACAGACAGATAGATGGATAAATAGATGGATAGATGGATGGATGGATAGATTGATAGATAGGTAGATAGATGGATAGGTAGATAGATAGATAGATAGATAGATTGACAGACAGACAGATAGATAGATGGGTAGATAGATAGATAGGTAGATAGGTAGATAGGTAGATAGATAGATAGATAGATAGATAGACATAAAAGTAGCTAGAGATCTACGTGCGTATGTATATAGATACAGATATAGAGCTACTATAAGGCTCTATTTCGGGCTTCGGGGGTTTAGGTGGGCTTTTTGCTGGAGTTTTGCAACATGACATGCTTTGCAAAGTTTTATCGCAGGGTGTTGTATCGGGTTCTTCTGGGGCTTGTAATTGGGTCGTGGGTTGTGTATAAGGTGTCATCGCCCTAAACCTTAAACCCTAAAGTAGGGTGTTCTTCAGGGCCGGCCTTCGGTAGCCAAACTCTAGGGTTTTAGGGTTCCTTCAAGATAAAGTTTGTCAGGGTTTAGGGTGTAGGGTTTATAAGGAACACCAAGGTAAAGTTCCTCCTGCAAATGAACCTCATGACGCCGGAGCTGCAACGCACCACAGCTTTAACAGGCGAGCTGGGAGATGTCTCCCTCTTCAAAAGCTCTTGGGTTGCTGTGGGCGTCATGCTCTGGGTGGCTCTCCCCATCCAGACTTTGACAACTCCCGGCCTGACCCCGCTGCAGCAAGTTCCTGCTGCCGCGATGCTGGTTCAGGGATGCCTTTGGCTAGCTTTCTTCCCACGGCTGAGTGCTGAACGGAAGACTTTTGCCTCCGTCACCCTGAACTTTTGGGAACTGCTCGGCGCCTGTATCCTTGTAGTCTTCCTGATCGAAGGCTCTGCTCATGTCGACTGGTACCTCATTCCAGGCGCCCTGATCGTGAGCCCTTTCTGCCTCTCCCTGTCCATTGCTGGGCCGTCCCGCATTGCTCGAATTCCCACCCTGGGAGTTCCGGTGGTGCGGTTTTTCCTCGGTCAAAAGCATCGTCATCTTTGCCCTGAACGGCGAAGCCGTCAGGGGAAGAGCTCTCCGGAAGACGTCCAGGACGCGACCGTGACCGTGGACATCTGTTCGGAGGTTCCCACATCACCCCGAAACACACCCCGAAAACCCAACTCTACAGCGACTCTAGGGTCCAAGTGTTCAGCAACTTGAGGCCAAATGCCGCAAAGAATGCCGCCACTTCTGATTGTACAGGGGGAAAAGCCAAGAAAACGAGACGGGAGGAAGTAGTGCATGATGTTGAGTGAGTTGCAATCTCTTGGGGACCTTAGACAGGGATGTTTGTACACATGTGCCTGAAGTCCTTGGGCACATCAGGCAAGGTTAAACAAGTGAGCTTCCAATTAGGACACAAGGGTTTACACAGTCGTCGTCTTCGCCATGGTCATCGTCTTCGCAGTACTGGTTTTGGTGCGGGCAGTAGTTGTAGTCAGTAGTAGTCAGTAGTAGCAGCAGCAGCAGCAGCAGCAGCGGCAGCAGGAGGAGTAGTACTAGTAGTAGTAGTAGTAGTAGTAGTAGTAGGCGGAGGAGGAGGAGGAGGAGCAGTAGGAGCAGTAGTAGCAGTAGTAGCAGTAGTAGTAGTAGTAGTAGTAGTAGTAGTTGTTGTTGTTGTTGGAGTAGTAGTAACAGCAGCAGCAGGAGTAGTCGTAGTAGTAGTCGTCGTCGTCGTGGTGCTGGTGGCAGTAGTAGAAATGGTACTTAGCAGCAACAGCAGCTGGTGCTGGTGCTGGTGCTGGTGCTGGTGCTGGTGCTGGTGCTGGTGCTGGTGCTGGTGCTGGTGTTGCTGCTGCTTCTGCTACTAATGCTGGTGATGGTGCTGGTCGTCGTCTAGCACAAATATCTCTGCCCAGGCATGTTATACATGTCAGAGAGCGAGGGACAGGGAGGGAGGCAGGCAGAGAGTGAGAGAGACAGACAGACAGACAGACACAGAGAGAGACAGACAGACACAGAGAGAGACAGAGAGAGCGAGAGAGCGAGAGAGAGAAAGAGAGCAAACCCAGCACTTAACAACATTCTTGAATCCTGCAGCAAACGCTGTTCAGCTTCATGCTGATGCTCAGCCAATTACTCCTACCCTAAACCCTAAACCCCAAACCCTAAAGCCGATTCTCAAGTCCCAGCCAGACCCCGCAGCCCAGAAGCCCGACCACTGCACCCAAACGCTTTAACGGTTTAGGTTCTAGGGTTTAGGGTTTAGGGTTTTAGGGTTTAGGGTATAGGGTTTTAGGCTTCAGGGTTTAGGGTATAGGACCCCCAGCCGGAAACCCTGAACGCATTACAGCCGGAAATCGTAACCGCCCACTCCCCTAACAGTGAAACAGAGGTGACCCAGAGCTTTACCCCTAAACCCTGAGCAACCCCCAAAGCAATTAAAAGCCAGCTGAAAATTGGACCTTGATGGTGCCTTGCCGTACGCCCGCCCGCCCATGCGCGGGAGTCCCAGTGAGATTCTGCGATCTCCCTTGGCGTAGGGAGGTTTATGGTTTAGGGCGTACGAAAAGGTAGGTAGGCAAATAGGTATGACATATAGGCATGAATGTATGCCTGTGTGCGCGTATGTGTATGTCTGGATGAATGCATGCACGTGTGGTGGCATGTACGTATGCATGTATGCGTGTTGTATATGCTTGTGCGTGTACAAATAGATAAAGTCAATAAATAAATGAATATTATATCTCTATATATATATACACATATGTGTGTGTGT